ATTTGAAATCTAGAGAATTTGAAATCTAGGGAACTTGAAGTCTAGTGACTTTGGAATCTAAAAATATTTGCGAAATTTAAAAATTCGAAAATTCGAAAACTGAAAACTGGAAAATTGGCTATCTAGAAGCTGGAAAATTTAACACCTTAAAAACCTGAAAATTCAGCAATTCAAAAGCTCAAAAATTTAGTAACTTATAAACCTGAAAATTTAACGTTTCAGAAACAAGAAAAGTTAGCAACTTAAAAGCTTCATATTTTCACCATTTAAAAGTTTAAAAATTTAGCAGTTCCAGATTTACCAATTTAAAAGCTGCTGAAGAGCTCAAAAACTTGATAATCCATCGATTCAAAAAGCTCGAAAATCCAGCAGCGCAATAGCATTAAAATTTATAAATCGAAAAATCGTGAAGTTTGCACAACATAATCGAAAGAAAAGGCACGTTGCACTCGACTGTACCGTTCGTTCGAGCCGGAAAAACGGCAGCAGAAAAGAGCGGAGTTAGAGCAACGCGAGAACGGCAATTTCCACGTCGACCAGGTCAGAGAAAGGAGAAAAGCACGTTAATTGGCGTTCATGTGGAAAAGGTTTACCAACACGAGTGACTACCCGCTACGAGAGATTGCCGACGAGAAACAGAGACAGAGCAAGGATGATCGCGCGAAATGGCCGACAAAACGACGTGAAAGAGCGAAGCTAATTATCCCGCGGGAAAAATTCCTCGGTCCACTAGGGAAGAGAAAACGACTACTAGCTAGATAGCTCTACAGGGTGCTAAGAAAGTAATGGCCCTACTTTATCGAGGTCAATTGCTAGTATTATCTCGGATGGATATTTGGGAAATGGTAATCCTCCCTTGGAATTAATTAACGCTTCTTAATTGAACATCAAGGTCTCAACTTCTAACGGTATGCTAAAACAAACACTAAATCTACCTAACTTTTTCTCATTTTATGTTACAAAATTTGTTATGACTCTTCTAATGAAAATTATGATCCTTCATGCACATTAATGAGCTTTATTTAAGGAAACATTATTTTTGATAATAGACTAATGAATTTAATTCAAGTGAGTCAGCAAAGTTGTCGAAATATGAAGCTGATGTAAGAAATTCGATATTCGATGAAGAATACAAATTTTGTTAATAAATCACTAATATTAATTTGTGCGTAACAATGTACATATGAGATCACAAGTTCATCTACATTAATTTTGTAGCTTCACTCAATGGAGTTTAACGACAGGTTTTGTATTGGTAATCTACTAGTACCATTTTGTGCATTCTAAATAGAGGAACGCAGAATAGGTTCTGAACGATCGACACCAATTTACACAGCATTTCGAGTACCCGTAAAACAGTGCCGTTATTTTACGACAGCGAACATCTCCCGAAACGGTAGTCTAACGGTCGGCGTACGAAAGCAACGAAAACTAACTGGTTCGCGGAGGAGTAACCGTGGAAAGGTGCTAGAGGGTAGTAAAAGTTTCAGTGGCCGTTTTCCGAGCTTCTTCGACGTTTCATCGAGCTTCCCGGACGAGCTTCCTGTCGTCGCCGTATGCCGCTTAACGCCGCGACAGGACATTACCGGCTGGCGAGAGGAAATAACGACGATTCCTCGAGAGACCGTGATAAAAGCACGCGAAAAGTCGACGAAACGGTTGGGCAGAGTCGAACAGAACGTACGAGAACGAAAGAGCGCAGCTGTTAAAAGGAAATAGTGGAGAAAAACCGCCATCAAGTTGGAGCTGTGCGGAATAGGGTGAAAAAGCAACGGCAACGGACAAATAGGTCAAGAAAAGAACCAAGGAGAGGTTGCCGAGAACCAATGAGAAATGAGAGGATACAGGGAACACAGAGGAATTGGAAAATTCTATGTGTCGTTGTCACATTGTTGCAAGAAAAATTTTTCTATTTCTTATGGATATTTATTTGAAGACTGAAGGATTCTGAAAGTCTTAGAAAGTTTGCAAATTTGGATATTTGAATGTTGATAGATTGGTGGATTGGTGCATTGGTGGATTGGTGGTTTGATGGATTGGTGGATTGGTGGATTGGTGGTTTGGTGGATTGATGGTTTGTTGGATTGGTGGATTGGTGGATTGGTGGATTGGTGGATTGGTGGTCTGAGAGATTGGTGGATTGGTGGATTGGTGGATTGGTGGATTGGTGGATTGGTGGATTCATGGATTGATGGATTGCTGGATTGCTAGATTACTGGATTGATAGACTGTTAGATTGGTGGATTGGTGGATTGATGGATTGGTGGATTGGTGGATTGATGGATTGCTGGATTACTGGATTGATAGACTGTTAGATTAGTGGATTGGTGGTTTGGTGGATTGATGGATTGCTGAATTGCTGAATTGCTGGATTGCTGGATTACTGGATTCATAGACTGGTAGATTGGTAGATTGGTAGATTGGAAAATTGGTGGATTGATAATTTGATCGATTGATAGATCGGTTGATTGGTAGATTGATTACTGATAGATTGATGGATTAATACATTAGTGAATTGATGAATTGAAGAATTGATGAACTGATGAACTGATGAATTGATGAACTGATGAATTGATGAATTGCGACTTATCTCCATAAAAACTATTTCTCCAACAACTATTCAACAAAATATTTTTCCATAACCAATCTTCCACTAAACTTCCCAGCAACCTACAAATTCACTATAACTTCACAAATTTTCTTAAGTTGCGAAATGTCTCAGAATTGCACATCTCGCATTCCTACGTGATACAGCAAAATGCAAATGCAGCGGAAACAAAGTAGAAGGGCACCGGTATTATCCGTGACATGTACTATCCATAAAAGAAGTAAATCACGTATTGTATTTTTAACAAGCAGCGTGATTTCCAAGAATGTTCGTTTTTCCAGATACGTAAGTGGTATCTGGAATCTCCGGCGCGCTTTTGCTTTGATTTCCATTTCCTGCGTCGTGGCCGGATAAGAGGAAATCGAAGTCGTGGCTCAGATACGGGAAAATCGGTCGGTCATGGTTCGTGTGTGACGTAATTTGCAACCTGTGTCTTTTCGCCCGGTTTTTCGAGCTGAAACGGAGCGTGCAGCCGTGCGATCGTGCGTTGCGTAAGGCGCTTTGAACTTTCTCAAAGCTTTGAACTTCGAATGTTAGTAGCTTAGTGTCTGCGAAATGACGATAAACTTACATAATTTTATAGAAGACTAGTCGTGAAATTTTCAGGTACACAAATTTCCACAGTTTGACACTTTCATACTTGGCAACTTTTTTATTGTTGAATACTCAAATTTGGAGATTTTCATATTCTAACATTTTTAAATTTCACGTTGAAGTTACTGAAATAGAAATTTGATAATAATAGAAATGACTGAATTCAAGAACTATAACACGTTATCAATTTTTTAGATAGTCCATTCATCATTTTATTAGTCTATTAATTTATCAATTGATCGATTCATCAATTCATTAATTCATTAATTCATCAATTCATCAATTCATCAATTCATCAATTCATCAATTCATCAATCTATCAATCTATCAATCTATCAATCTATCAATCTATCAATTCATCAGTAATCAATCTACCAATATTCTATGATTAAGTGCAAGATTGGTTTTGTTAAGGTCTCCATTATTATAATCAGTGGTGTGAAAAACGCTTTTATACATCCATGCCATAAATTGCAAGATGCAATCGAAAATTGCAAAATCCCAAATTTCCAAATTCTAAACCTCCTTAAGTTCCAAATCCCACATTTCCTAAATTCTCAAATTGATCTCCAAAATTCCCAGAACCTTGCATAAGCGACTGTCCACCCAATACCAGAAATTACAGGTACATCTCACAAAAGATCTCAGCATCGTTATTTCACCTCCGCATCAAATCGCAGTCGCAGATTACGAACGGATGCAGAAAGTAGCACAGTCATCAGTAACAAGAAGACAGACCGGAAATTCATGCAATTTCCTGGTTGCATCAGGGTTGAAAAACGGTGTCGAGTCATCGCTTGTCCCTTTGTGATCGTTCGCTGAATTGCAGCCGGATAAATATCCGCCGCTAAGGGTGGCCGTTCAAAACTTGATGCAGCGATCAGATAAAACGCGTGCGAACCCCCTGAGAATGCTCGGTTCGTGGCGTCGCACGTATACGCCATTGTCTGACGCTCTCCAGCTGGCATAGTTTTCATCTTGATATATTTTCCACGCTCGTCGAGTGGGATCGATAGCGGTCAGCGAAATATTTTCTCTCGTATCTTCTTATGCGCGGGAAAAAATTCCGTGTCGGATTTGCGTAACAAACACGTTTATCGAGCCGATATCGAGAGAGCGTACGTGAAGCACGGATGTGCTTTTATTGTCTTATGCGGTGTTTGATATTTGAGCACGGCACTCTCGAGCCAAGTTCCCACGGCAAGAGCAACATTTTAGAGTCAAAATTTCTTCCCTCGAATAATATTCTTTTCTTGATAAAAGACGACGTAAAAATAAGAGGGAAGAAATATTCACTCTTCTTTCGCTGCCTTGTCCCGCTTAATTCAACTGTCTTGTATCGCGAAATATTTAAAGGAATGATGAAATATGAGACGCTTTCATTTTGCTTAAGAGAAGCTCTGGAGATATTTAAACTTTCTTGGAAATTGATAAAATGGTACGTAAGGCATTTTAACTAACAATGAAACGAGTTACGAATCATTTTAGGGATTATGTCGGTGCTTTTTCTCGGTGCTTTAATTTCTCGTTCTACTCGAATCCTCTTAGAAAGGATGTAAAGGGTAATGCATAAAATGAGAAAATACGCAATTAGGTGAAATCAAATTTTATGCTTTCCTCGCAACTCGAATGATATTGTTAGATTTCGACTGTGTACATAGCGTACGTGTTTCAACACGATACGTTGTAAAGTTAAAATTGGTTCTTCTAAAAACATCGTTCGTATTTATTTTAACGGAATGGATTTTATACGAAGAGAAAATATTGAAGTACGATGAAAACAGGAAGATTGACTTACCTATGACCGTTAAATTGACCTTGGAATTTCGCGTTTGACCAATCTGGAAGTCGACGCGACACCTGTAGATACCGGCATCTTCCTCTCTGATGTGATCTACGCCAAGTTCGGCCGGTTTTTTGTCCGGCATGAAGTAAGCTCGATTCGAAAACACCGTGTCGTCCGACCATCGTTCGGCGATACCGAAATCTCGATCCCTCGCATCGACACTGAAATAGACAATTTTTCAATTATACAAGTACTTCAGTTATTTCAATTATTTCAATTATTTCAATTAATCCAATTATTTCAATTATTTCCATTATTTCAATTAATTCCATTGTTCAATTATTCAATTATTCAATTATGCAATTTTTAAATTTATCGGTTTATCAATTTATCGATTTATCAATTTATCAATTTGTCAATTTATCAATTTGTCAATTTATCAATTTGTCAATTTGTCAATTTGTCAATTTATCAATTTGTCAATTTGTCAATTTGTCAATTTGTCAATTAGTCAATTTATCAATTTATCAATTTATCAATTTGTTCATTTATCAATTTGTCAATTTATCAATTTGTCAATTTGTCAATTTGTCAATTCATCAATTTATCAATGCATTAATTTGTCAATTTGTCAATTCATCAATTTGTCAATTTGTCAATTTGTCAATTTGTCAATTTGTCAATTTATCAATTTATCAATTTGTTCATTTATCAATTTGTCAATTTATCAATTTGTCAATTTGTCAATTTGTCAATAGTTCATCAGTTTATTAGTTCATCAATTCATCAATTCATCAATTTAACAATTTTTCAATTTTCACATGTCCCAAATGTTCTGGTCGACCAAATTCAGATTTTCGAAATGTCAATTTTATAAATTACTATCTTTAATAATACAGGAAATTCAAGAATCTGGAAATCCAGAAATTTAATTAAATTTAACAGGTCAATATTGAAGTTCAGCAGTGTGGAAATTTGGTAATTTAAAGTTGTGATAATCTGGAAATCCATAAATTTACAAATGTTAAAATTCTCAAATTTTACGTAGAGAAGTGTCCAGGTATTAAAATTTCCAAATAATCGAATTCCCAATTGTTGAAACTGTTTTCAAGATATACAAAAATGTACAAAATAGTAAAATACTGTGATATAATCAAACTGTTACCCGATTCAAAAATTTCATAATAAACACATCCCACATAAAATCGCCATTGAATTACACAGAATCGAAAGAGTAGATCCAACACAATGTATGCCCAATGTACGCTACCCAAAATATCGAAATTTGCAAGCGATAGAAAACAAGGAACAATGACTTATTCTGTTAACGAGTCATTAAATCCAGTCTGTAAAGGAGACTGTTTGAGGGCCGAACGTACGAAACCATTCGCTTGTTAGTGTTATTCTGTGAAATTTTTCGCTGCAACACAGCTGCCAGAGACGGTTCTGAATATTATCATAATTATTTTAATTAACGCTGCCGGGTGGCCGCTCTCGCGAACGGATAGACGTGCAGTCCGAGCGACGCGTGCTGAATAAATTAAAGTCCCACGGGAATACGAATGAATCGGGGCGGTTTTAAATGCAAACTTCCGCTGGCCCATTTTAAGGTTCACGGTACAGTTTCGAAAGTGGCACGGCATAAGCTTCTTCACGCGAAATGGCCGTGCAAAGCTACGTTTGAAATATCCATGAACCTACCGGTGTTGTAACGGGAATAATATACTGAATAATATAGATCAGTAATTCGTTTCACGCTGTTAAATTCTCTTTCTACGAGTCGAGTATGCGTCGAATATAAATCCCCTCTAATAAAGTATAATTTGAATTCTCTTTTTAAAAATATCTTCATCAAATTACCGCTCTTTCGATAATTAGTATGTATATATTTCATTTAGGAAAAAATTTCATTATTTGTACTTCATATGAAATAATTTGAAAATTATACATTAGCTGTTTTTTATAATGAAATATGAAATTGAAAAATGTGAGAAAAAATGTTCAATGTATTTTATGATGATGTGCAGGAAAAGAGACAATATAATAGATATGATGAATGATATGATACATGATATGATACATGATATGATACATGATATGATACATGATATGATACATGATATGATACATGATATGATACATGATATGATACATGATATGATACATGATATGATACATGATATGATACATGATATGATACATGATATGATACATGATATGATACATGATATGATACATGATATGATACATGATATGATACATGATATGATACATGATATGATACATGATATGATACATGATATGATACATGATATGATACATGATATGATACATGATATGATACATGATATGATACATGATATGATACATGATATGATACATGATATGATACATGATATGATACATGATATGATACATGATATGATACATGATATGATACATGATATGATACATGATATGATACATGATATGATACATGATATGATACATGATATGATACATGATATGATACATGATATGATACATGATATAATACATGATGTGATACATGATACGATACATGGTATGATACATGATATGATACATGATATCATACATGAAATCATACATGAAATCATACATGAAATCATACATGGAATCATACATGAAATCATACATGGAATCATACATGAAATCATACTTGAAATCATATATGAAATCATATATGAAATCATACATAAAATCATACATGAAATCATACATGAAATCAAACGTAAAATCACACATGAAGTCATATATGAAATCACACATAAAATCATACATGAAATCATACATAAAATCATACATGAAATCATATATAAAATCATACATAAAATCACACCTGAAGTCATACATGAAATCACACATAAAATCATACATGAAATGATACATGAAATGATACATAATATCATATATGAAATGATACATGATATAATACAAGATATCATACATGAAATGATATATGATATGATACATAATATCATACGTCATACCATACACGATATCATACATGAAATGATACATGAAATGATAGATGATATCATATGTCATATCACACATGATATCATACATGAAATAACACATTGAATGATACATGATATGATGTACGATATGATAATTAATATGATAACCAATATAACAGTGAAAACAATCGATTATATGATAGTGAATATGATAAAAAAATATCATAAACAATATGATACATCACACGTCGTACATCACATATGAATAGTACGAAAAATGTAGTACCTTCTTCCTCAAAATAATAAATGTGCAAATATTTCACGTCCCAAGTTTGAGTCAGTGCATCCCGCGTGATAAAATATTGAATCGAATCGAATGGAATTGAATCTCACGTGACAACTTACCTGTAAACCGATGTACCGAGATCCTCTCGATACCAGAGCACAAGATGCACCGAATCCCCTTCGTGGGTGGTTGATATGTCGCAAGGAAGATACGTGGGATCGCCTACCAGTGCCACAATGTGTGATATCGGTACTGAAACAGACAACCACGTACATATGTGAAATTCACTGCATTGCAACATTAGCCACGTGTACTTGACTATTGATTGACACGTCATACACCTGAATTACAAACTGATTTTCATGAATATTTATGTAAAAACGTCCGAGTCAATTCGAACGAAGACTCGTAATTTTCCACGTTGTCATTTTCCATCATTTTGACGGAGAAAACGTTTATTAAAATTTTAATTATAAATCTTGTATTTTCTTTTAAATTATTGTTCAAGCTTTATTTTGCAAATTTATCGAGTTGACATTAATTCAGTGAGTGTTCAGGTAATTATTAATATGCAAAATATTTCTCTGTGAATATGCAAAGTAAAACCTCAAACTCAAAGTAAAACCTCAAACCTCAAACCCAATTTAATTCAAAAGTATATTTTAAATATAGCATAACCTTTAAATATAATTTAAGGCCCCAAAGATTCATGAAAAACTATTTTCACATGCAACTAGTGTCAGCAAGAAAAAACTCCCTTGTCAAACCATCCCCTAATCTAATATAGACGCAACCATACATGCTTCCTTTGAATAAGCCAATCCTCAAAACCCTTTCGATCAAAGCTCGCTTGAAAAATCCATCGCACAAGTGAACTACCACGAGAAAGGAAACAAAAAGGAATTTCGTCGACCCTTTTGTCTCGTTCCCTTCAGTTCTCCCCTAGTGACCTAAATAACGGCCTAAGGTTAAAGACGATAGCACGGAAAAGGGTGAGCCGACAATGATCGCGTCACCGAAACCATAGTTGCTCTGCTCGACATGTTATCTTCCAAATAAATAAACGTTGTTCGTGCGAACAACGCGGTGACAGCCTGGCAAACAAAGGGTCATTGTTTGCCTGGACAGACGGGTTAGTATTTATTGCGTGAGACGGGTTTAATCGAGCTGATCGAGGAACCCTTCTGACCTACCTTCTATTTCACTCATTTTGCTTGGAAAATTATTACTTATCGGCTCTTAAAGTAATTTAGTGAGAGCTTTTTACATTTGAAAAATTAAAGAAACTTGTTGAAGTTGTTTTGCATTACTTATTACTCCTTGTTTTAGTAATTTCCGAATTCTCTAATTTCCCAATTTTCTAATTTTCCAATTTCTTAATTCTTCGATTCCCTAATTTCCAGATTCCCTAATTCCCCTATGCCCTAATTCCCCGATTCCCTAATTCCCCGATCCCCTCATTCCCCGATTCCATATTTCCCCGATTCCCTAATCCCTCGATTCCCTAATTCCCCGATTCCCTAATTCCTCGATTCCCTAATTCCCCGATTCCCTAATTTCCCGATTTCCTAATTTCCCGATTCCCTAATTTTCCAATTGCCTAATTTCCCAATTCCCTAATTCCCTAATTTCCCAAATCCCCAATTCCCTAATTCCCCGATTCCCATTAAAATTTCCAAAATAATCTCGCGAATAAGATTCGCACTCAACAATAATCCTCCATCGTAATCCCATTACTGCGAGTACGTCTTGTGTACGTAGATAAGTTCCATAAATTGCATAGAAGCTCGAGTCTCGAATCCGTAGTGAAAAGCTTTGAAAACAAATACAGCTTCGTTTCTCCGAAGCTTGCTGTACGATCAGAATATTAAACAGTATCTATATTCGTGCGGTATCTACAAAGTACACAAATTCTGTGATTCCTTTTCCGAAGAAGCTGTTCTACCGATCCTTTACCTTTGTTCCTATAACCGTAGCAGGAACAGGACGAAAGGAGATTCAACCAATTGGCTGTAAACCGAGAACGGGAGTAACGTAATACGCTTAACGTGTACGTGTGTGCTGTTGAATATCCTCAAAAGCAATGTCCCTAATTCCATAAATCCACAATTCCCCGATTCCCTAATTTCCCGATTTCCTAATTTCCCGATTCCCTAATTTTCCAATTGCCTAATTTCCCAATTCCCTAATTCCCTAATTTCCCAAATCCCCAATTCCCTAATTCCCCGATTCCCATTAAAATTTCCAAAATAATCTCGCGAATAAGATTCGCACTCAACAATAATCCTCCATCGTAATCCCATTACTGCGAGTACGTCTTGTGTACGTAGATAAGTTCCATAAATTGCATAGAAGCTCGAGTCTCGAATCCGTAGTGAAAAGCTTTGAAAACAAATACAGCTTCGTTTCTCCGAAGCTTGCTGTACGATCAGAATATTAAACAGTATCTATATTCGTGCGGTATCTACAAAGTACACAAATTCTGTGATTCCTTTTCCGAAGAAGCTGTTCTACCGATCCTTTACCTTTGTTCCTATAACCGTAGCAGGAACAGGACGAAAGGAGATTCAACCAATTGGCTGTAAACCGAGAACGGGAGTAACGTAATACGCTTAACGTGTACGTGTGTGCTGTTGAATATCCTCAAAAGCAATGTTGCCAGCCATTTTCCAAGAAATTGCAGAGATTTTCTCGTGAGCGAGATACGTTGTGCGTGTTTTGTTTCCAGGGTACGATCGAATACGTAGGCTGTAACGAGATATAAAGCGTGCGTGATCACGCGATGCTCGGGGCACGCGATATGCGACATGCGTGATGATTATTCGATATACTTGTGAACGTGATCGAGCATGGAAATTCAGTGACGGAAGAGAAATCCTGATATCTCTAGTTTCAGTTTTACATTTTTTACTTTCACAAATTTCTTATTTTCCTCATTTGTTAATTTTATGATTTTCCATTTCCCTAATTTCCCATTTAAGGTAATCGGGGAATTGGGGAATTGGGGTATTAGGGAATTAGGAAATTAGGGAATTGGGAAATTAGGAAATTGGGAAATTAGGGAATCGCGGAATTAGGAAATCGGGGAATTAGGGAATCGGGAAATTTGGGAATCGGGGAATTGGGGAATCGGGGAATTGGGGAATTGGGAAATTAGAGAATCGGGGAATTAGGGAATCGGGGAATTAGGGAATTGGGAAATTAGGGAATTGGGAAATTAGGGAATTGGGGAAATTAAGGAATCGGAGAATTAGGGAATTGGGAAATTAGGGAATCGGGGAATTAGGGAATCGGGGATTCTAAACTTCCCTCTTTCTAAATTATCAACATCTCGAAGCCCCAAAGTTACTAAACTTTCCCGAAAGTTTCGAAGTGTCGAAATTTTCTAAAGACCCGATGCCCTGAATACTTTAACGGGAGCACGATCTGCCCATCAGCGGCGTAAACCGGTGATTAGTCGGTCGATTAGATGAACTTCGGTGGCACGAGTCAGTAATTAGCGAGACGATGTCTTAATACCTATAATATCGAGATCAGGCGATGAGGATCGTTGTAATTAACGGGGTGCATTCGTGTTCGCAATGGTGAGATTAAGTAGCGTGTGTCAATAATTAGCGACACGGCAGCCACCTGCTTCTGCGCACACATTAAGTAGTATAGCTCTGTATTTTCCGACTAGTTATACCCCACTATCGAGATTAAATAACGACCGGCTGTAATTAGGGACGCAGTATGTTAATGTCCCTCCATATTGGCGTCGATATCATCCCAGATTCGACGATTACACGGTATAATTTCCGTATTTGGTAAATTACACCTTTTAATTTGCATAATACCGAAATGCGATACAAATCGAGGTTCGTATTACACTTCTCGTGTACTTCCTATCAATTTTTATTTCTTTATGTTTTTTCGTTTTTGTGCATTTATTTTTGTATTGTTTGCTATTTATTTAGTTGGTTGTATAATTTACTTTAAAGTATGTTTTGTAATAATTAAAGTTGAACATGTGTAGGTGTATATGCTAATTGTATCTTTAATTGTATTTAATTGTATGTGAAAATTGATTTTAATAAAAATTATTTAATTGTAATAATTGTGAAGATAATAGAAATATTTCTCAATTTGAATTTCTGTGATAATTTCGATAATTTTAATAATTTTTTATTTTAAGTGAATGTCAATTTTAATTTTAATAACATTTTAATTTTGATTATATATTTTTGTCTTGAATCTGTTGAACAACTGTCCAGTTAAAATTTACAATATTGTATGAACACCCTATTTTTTATAATTTTAAAATAATTATTTTTCAAACAGTTTCATACGATAACCTGAAATCTGCAGTGCATGACGTTCCGCCTCATTCGTGCTTAATTAAGAAGAAACATTTTATGAAATGGAACGAACTAATTCGTAACTTCATACAAAGGTAAGTATAAATTACTAACTAACAAAACCAGTCGTTTTTTAATACAAAATGCATTCATTGTTTTAATTAAAAACAGCTCTTTTGATATATGCGAAAGCCTCGACTGTGTTCAATTAATTAACACGTGACTGAAGAATAATAGAAATATTTGCTTTAATCAACTTTTATTCGTTTAATGTTTCCAAACGTTTTCAATACGTACAATTATCGATAACTGAATGATTTTCGAAAGTTGTAAAATTAAATTATGGTTGAAGACCAAATTTCCAAATTTCCAAATTTCTAAATTTCTAAATTTCCAAATTTCCAAATTTCCCAATTTCCAAATTTCTAAATTTCCCAATTTCCCAATTTCCCAATTTCCCAATTTCCTAATTCCCAAATTCCCAAATTTCCAAATTTCCCCATTTCCAAATCCCCAAATTCCCAAATTCCCAAATTCCGAAATTCCCAAATTTCCAAATTCCCAAATTCCCAAATTCCCAAATTCCCATTTTCCCAATTTTCCAATTTCGTAGTTTCCAAATTCCCTAATTTCCCAATTCCCAAATCCCCGAATTCCAAAATTCCCAAATTCCCAAATTCCCAAATTCCTAAATTCCGAAATTCCCAAATTCCCAAATTCCCAAATTTCCAAATTTCCAAATTTCCAAATTCCCAAATTCCCAAATTCCCAAATTCCCAAATTTCCAAATTTCCAAATTTCCAAATTTCCAAATTCCCAAATTCCTAATTTCCCTAATTCCCAAATTTCCCAATTTCCCAAATTCCCATTTTCCCAATTTCCCAATTTCGTAGTATCCAAATTTCCCAATTTCCC